ATAATATAATATAATATAATATAATATAATATAATATAATATAATATAATATAATATAATATAATATAATATAATATTATATTATATATAATAATTATTATAATAATAAGAATTTAGTTTTTTAGGTATAACTTCACAAAAATTTATTTAAAACTTATAAATTATATATATATGTATATATATATATTGTATCTCAGATATTATTTTGTCATAGGTATCAATTTATATAATCATTCTACTCAATATTAATTTATTTTACTAGTATTAATCCTAATGCTAATCTAACTCTAGTAGAACTTTTATTCTAATTTGGACTGATCAATATTTGAGACAAATCATTATTTGAATATAACATATATAAATATAAGATCTAAAAAATAAGTATACTTAAATTAATTAAAAATTGTGAATTAGAATATTTAAAAGTTAAGTAAAATAAAAAAATTCTAAAAAAATATTTTTACTAATCAATTTTGCAAATATTTTAAATATTTTTAAGAAAATATATTTTTATATCTTAAAGAATATATATAAATTTTTAATTAAATTTATTTTATTATTATAAAATAATAAATAATTAAAAAAAGATATAATTTTTTAATAAAACATAGTAAAAATTAATTTTTTTGATTTTTACTATATTTTATTAAGAAATTTAACAAAATTATATCTTTTTTAATTGATTATTATTTTATAATAATGAAGTAAATTTAATTAAGTATGAAAATATATTTTCTTAAAAATATTTGCAAATTGATTAATAAAAATATTTTTTTTTAGAATTTTTTTTATTTTATTTAATTTTTAAATGTTCCAATTCATAATTTTTAATGTAAATTTATACAAAATTTCATTAATTTAAGTGTACTTGTATTATTAAATAAACTTGTTTTTCTAGATTATATATATATATATGTATATATATATATATAATTTTATAAGTTTTAAATAAATTTTCATGAAGTTGTACCTAAAAAACTGAATTCTTATTACCATTATAATTATAATATACTTAATATAATAACTTGATACAATTATTATGAAATTATTGGTTTTCTATTAATTACACAAAGAAACAATTATATTATTAAAATAGTTTTGTTTTATATTAGAATATTAATAACTAAAATAGAAAATTTTATATAAAATAAAATAAATAAATAAATAAGAAAAAATATCAAAAAAATTTTATAATATTAAAATATTCAAATCTAAAATAACATGAATAAAAAATAAGGAAATAGAAAAAGAAACTAAAAGAACTTTATTAACTAATGAAATTGAATATGTAATTTAATAACATCATAATTATGTTTATTATCTAGTATTACACTTTATATATTTAATTTGTAAGAAACAGGATAAAACTCAAAAAGTAATAACTAGATCAATAATAATTAATTGTATATTTCTATTTACACATTCATTTTGCTAAATTAATAACCATATACTGTTACTTTCAATTATTCTTTTTGGATTAATTATAATTATTCAATTGTAATAGCTAAAACTATTTAAATATTATTCAATTATAATTGCTGAAACTATCTTCCATCCTGTGTACATATATATATCAATGCTAATTTGCCAATTAGAAGAGGTACTTATAACAATATAACTGATTAATTGAACTTGATTTTTGTGAAAATTAAAATTATCAATATTAAAATAGAATTTATCTGGTTTTTAATTTTCAAGAGTTCATTATGATGCCAGTAATACGAAATAATCTGTCAGCAAAAATGTGATAGGATCTCGATTTTAGACCATTTTTTTGTATTATCTAATCCAGTACCCGAACTTTTTGTCATCACATATAATTGATGCAGTGTCGGGAGATACAACTTAACCAAATATGTTATTGATTATTTATTGAGCCGCAAAAAATTTTAATTTATATTATATTAAAAATAGGATCTCCTTTCATTTATCACCCCATTTCCATATATATATAATAATATGATTTGCAAATTTTTCCTGTGCAGCGAAAATCAAAAAAAGAAATTTTTCATAAATTGCTCCTAACATCAATATTTAAAAAACCACCACAACTTTCCATTCCCACTCCTCATTTCCTTTCTCTAATCACTGCAATTCCATATTTTTTGTTAGAATACAAATGACATCATAACTTTATCTGTTGTAACTTTTCGTGAATAAGCAAAACACGCGAAAATAATTCACGCAAAAATTATTCCTTAAAAGGGGAAAACAGTCGCGCGACACACGTATAAAAAGCAAATGATCTCGGTGCATTTGTCATCACTTTCTGGCCAAAGTTTAAATAATAAAAAGCATAATAATAGTAAATCGTAGCAGTAGTAGCAGTAGTAGTAGTAGTAGAGTAGTAGTGGCTAAAATAAAATATTAAAAAGTTCAGAAATGAACTCCAATACTTCCAACCAAGTGGTAGTTAATAATAATAGTCTCGACTATTATGTTAATTTAATCAATTATTACATTACAAACCCTATCACAAACCAACTTGAAATACACAATCACCATCCTAATGAGACAAGTGACTTGCGTTTACAATACGCAATAATTTACCTTAATGAAGCGCTACTGAAATATCCAGAGGCTTATGAACTAAAGGTGAGCCGGATATTTTCCTCTTTTCATATATCATTTTTCATTATTCTGAGCCTCTTTCCCGATAACATTAAGTAAATAATGAATGGATGAATAGATAAATAAAGTTAGTAAATTATTTAATTAAAAAAACAAATATAAAAGAATTCATTTCTTCAATAAAGCATAGGTTATGATAAAAACAATTTATTTCTTCCTTCATTGTCCTTTTTATTAGCAGCAATAGAAAAATATATTATTTTTATTCTCACGGATTTCATGATAAATTCAATAATACTAAACTATGATACGTTTTAGATTTTAGATCATCGAATTGCATTAAAACTAGGAGATACCACTAAAGCTAAACAAATTTTCGATTCTATGTAAGTTCTATTAATAGTCTTTTGTATATTTTATTTTTCTTTGTCAACTAAATTAACTTATATTTATTTATTAAGTCGTGAAAAATTCCCTGATCATATACCTTTTAAAAAGTATCTTGCTGAAATTACACAATCTGTCTTAGCGAAATCACGAGACGACAACTTTTGTGAGTAGTAAACAGAAAAAAATACGTGCGTTTATATTCATTGAGTTTTAAGGAAATTTTTAATTAAGGATAAATGGTGATTATTAAATATATAAGGCGAATTGTTTATTTGATTGAACTCAAAAAAAAATTGGCTTATCAAAAATCTTGTACACGTAAAATTATATATTGTTGATGATTATTTTTTATTCCAAAATATTCAATTTATAGCTTTTTTTCTGAAGATTCCAACGAAAACACAACGCGAAGTTTTTATAAGAACAGCAAGTAAGAAATTTTTTATTCAAATACTACTAATCAAGTTTCTTTACATATAAAAAATTAATACAATTTTTCACTATTCTTTGTAATACAAAGTTTATTATGAATCGACTGGTGCATTTTTGGAATCATGTCAAATGTTTGCTCTTGTTTTAAAAACTTATCCAGAGACCACCACTTATTATGGGGTAAAACATTAAGTAAATTTTAAATTTCAATTGTGAACTACTATTTAATCTTTTATAATCCTAATAGGCACATGCAGCTCAACTTGCTATACAATGTGAAAATCACCCTATGTCAGTTCTTAATCCATATCGGCAATGCTTAGGTTGGTAGAATCTAATTTAAAAGGTTAAATAAAATTTACTGATCTAAATTTTCCTCTATATAGTTATAAATTATAAATTATTTATTAATCCTCGTAATTCTTTTAATCTTAATTCACAGTTAATGGAATACTACCAGGAATTCTTAGAATTAAAATGACTGTATATACTAAAAAAATTCCGATGGATATTGTTGTTTATCAACCGGAGCTGCCATTGTCCTCTGCACCTTTTATCTCCAATTCAAATAACCCAGTCGCACAATCATCATTTCACGTGACTTTTGATCAATTGAAGCAATGGCTTCAATGTGGTCAAAGTTTCTACATTGCAAATAAAGACTGGAAGAAATTATTTGAAGTCTCATTAAGTGTAATGGATACTTGCAATTATATAAAATTGAAAAGGTAAATAATAATAGTAATAATAATAGACAATGATTAATTGTTATCATTTAATTCAATCAAATTTCTTTATTATTAATAGTTCTCCAAGAACAACTTTAGTGGATCTATTTTTGGATTGTCGAAAGCTCCCTGAGAAACTCTTTAAATTACTTTGTCAAGAAAAAATTATAAAAGATCCTTTGGCGTACAGTTTCGCTCAAACAATAGAAATGGCCTGTTTTGTACATTGCTGCTATGAGTTTTACGAGTATGTGGCTGGTTTAAAGAGTAAATCATCTGGGGGTATGTGCTTTTCATTGATATTCTGGTCAAAAGCATTAAGGGACTTAATAATTAATTTTGATTTATACATGGAGCATACATTATTTGACATATACAAACTTTAATATTGATAGGACAGAGAACTTTTTTAATACCATGCTGGCCTAGTCCTCATTTTGAATCGACAGGAGTATTAAGAACAAGAATAGAAAAATCAAAATTTTCGTTTAATTCAAAAGATAATGAAGAAATATTATCATCAGATGAATCAGTCAGTAAGAGAGTTATCAAAAAAAGAAAATTGGCGAATTCCTCGAATAGCACCACGATTTTATCCGAAATGGGAGTAACTGTAAGTGAACATAGGGGAAAGGAAAAGGCAAGGGACACAAACATTATGAACGTATATAATCTTATCCATAATGAAGAAGAGAAGGTAGAGAAGGTCGAATATAAAGATAATGAAAAAATTGGGAGATTATCAAGTAAAGATTCAGATGATTTAGCAAATACACATCTAAAAAGAGAGGACGCGAGTTTCACTGAAGGTAATAATTTCGTTATTGATTTTTTGAGAATTTATTAATATAAATTGTCATTATTAATTGATAACTATAGATAATCAATTTGATGAATCCATGGTTAATGAAGCAATCATAGCATTGGAACGTGCTGATGAATGCTGGAATTTAATAAAAGAAATGTATTCAGAAAATACAAATATAGAACAAGGTATTTATAAAGAGTGTAACATATTTCAGATAGAAAACTTGAATCTTAATTATATTACTAATATTCAAAATGTAGACTTGGAGCTTCTATTAAAAGTATGGAATCTGCCATTGGATATTACTAATGCAGTAATGTTGACAAGATCTGAACTCAACCTGAAACATGGTGTATATTTCGATACATCACTCAATTACTTTAAAGATATTTGTGGTCGGTTCTCTGGTGCATGGGATGAATATCGTCAAAAAATTGCAGAAAAAGGTCATCCTTCATCTTATGACAACAATAGCAGCAGCAGCAACAATAATAAAAGCATTAATTCAAAGACTAAGAACAATAATAATAACAGTAACATTATCATCGGTAGCAACAACAATAATAAGAATGGCAATAACAACAAAAACAGCAACAATAAAAATAAATATAAAACTAACAATGATAAAATAAACGATGATGATGAAGATGACACTCGTTATATTAATTCAATACGACAACAAGGGAAAAAACCAAATAACGGTGAAGACATGAAAATTAACGATACTGAATTTGCAATAAGAAACCAAACACCTATAATGTTAACTTTACGAGTGTTATATTCAATCGCCATGATTTATATGATTGCTAAAATGTGGGGGGAAGCTCGAACCGAGCTATTAATAATATTGGCGGTTATGCCATATACCACAATTTTAAATGAACATTTTGAAAAAGATGAATGGCTATTAATGGAGAAAAAAAATAATTTCGATAGCGAACAATTTAAAAATCCATATAAATTGATAGAAGTTACACAAGAAGGATTGATTGTAAGGGCAATAAAAGACCTAATTTGGTCATATGAGGTAAAAATATCGCTTGATTAATTAACTATTATTATTAATATTATTTATGAATCGAATATTTTTTCGTTTGATAATAAAACAGATGGAACTTGATACAAATTCATCCAACAACAATGATAAATTATGTCAGTTAATAGTGCTATCTCAATATGGATGGCCATATTGGAGAGATCGATTATTTCACCCTATAATTCTGCCTGGAATTAAGAAATGTGGAGTTTTGATTTATCCTCAATTTTTGCAATTCGTTTCTAGTAAGTAATCAATTTTTTCCGTTTATTAATAATTAATAATTAATAACTATTAATCGAATTTAATTATTGTAGATATTGAAATTGCCAAAGGAATAGTTAAATTATATCAAACTTCACCCAATCTAAAATTGCAATTATTACCAAATAATAATTCTACATCGGATTCTATCAAAGCACTTGATACTTTTATACGGAGGGAGACAATTTCATCTTTTACTACAGATACATCGTCATCTATTGACTCTTTAATAGAGTTTTGTAAAATGAGTTTGGCCGAAAAACAAATTTCCGATAATACTCGAAGTCATAATGACACAGAAAAAAATGGAGAGAATTCTGTTATTATTGATAACAATGACGACCGCGATGATGATGAATATGGTGACTACGATGAAGATGCGATTTTTGATATTGAGAGATCGAGAAAAGGATCTTTTAATAGCTATGAAAGACATTACGATGTTAATAACGGTCAGGGTAATGTCTGAAAATTTTCTGGGATTAAGAGATCTGCAAACTACAGCATTTACAAAATCACTGACTTATCGTTATAGGAAAATGGCGATGAAGACAAATTTTCCTAAGCTAACACTTGAATATTGCATCCCAATCGGTCTTCTTATAACAGGCACTTTTTAAGATTTCCTACTCCTATAATATCCACTTTTTTACACCTTAACGATGAAACCTTTAAAGTATCTTGTTTTAAAGTAATATTGGGAATTGTAATGATCTGCAGAAAAATCGTAATTTTTAGCTAGAAATAGATCGATTGAATATTTCTGGTCTAATTTAAATATTTATTACTCAAATTTTAGATTTGAAATGCTGATTTTGTGATTGAATTTGATTATTATTTACAATTTGTCATTGGAATTGATTCGTAATGTGATTTGCCTCGAGCAATTGGAATATATTTTGAATTGGACTTTTAAATAAAAAATATATATTAAGAATTTTATGTAATAAGTTTTTTTTATTGATAATTTAATAAAGATTTGATATCAAACATATACGTATAATCAAACCTCTAGTCACACCAATTTATCCAATTTGATTTTTCATTGTCATCCTTAATTTTATAATTACATCATTTTATAATCATCCAGAATAGAATTTGACTGTATTATAAAATTTTTTTTGAACAAGTAAAATGATTTTTAAATAATCAATAATAAAAAAATTTAGATAATATTATAAAAACTTCAAATTAAATTTGAAATTGGTAATAAATTATCATAAAGTTCCATAAATAAGCAATCCCTTTTATATACCAAAATAAAAAAAATTATTATATATTCATTCACCTAATTTTAATTCTTTAGCAGAAATATTATCTTTATTTACTATTTTATTTAAATTATCAATTTCATCTTCATCACATTCATGATGATTGAAATTACTATTGTGTATAAAATCTAAAGTCATCAAATATTTGTATTTTATAAAATATATAAACTTCTTTATTAAGAAGTAAATACAAATTTAATCTGTAAATATATTCAGAAAAGATCTATTTTATTATATTTACAGATTAAATTTTGTATTTACTTTTTAGAAAAGAAGTTTATACATTTTATAAAATATAAATGTTTGATAACTTTAGATTTTATGCATTATAGTTTCAATAAATGTTTAGTAACAATGAAATGGTTAAACCAGATGATTAATAAATTAATAGTGAATAATTTAATCATTAAATCAATAGGTATTAAGTATTTAAAAAGTTCTGTGAATATGATTTCTTTTATATATCAAAATAAAAAAATTTATTATATATTTATTTATCTAATTTTAATTCTTTAGCAGAAATATTATTTTTCATTTACTATCTTATTTAAATTATCAATTTCATCTTTACTATATTCATGATGATTATAATATATAAAATCTAAAGTTATTAAATATTTGTATTTTATAAAATATATAAACTTCTTTACTAAGAAATAAATACAAAATTTAATCTGTGAATATGCTCAAAAAAGATTCATTTTATCATATTCACAAATTAAATTTTGTATTTACTTTTTAGTAAAGAAGTTTATATATTTTATAAAATATAAATATTTGATGATTTTAGATTTTATGCATTATAGTTTCAATAAATATTTAGTAATAATGAAATGGTTAAATCAGATGATCAATAAATTAATAGTGAATAATTTAATTATTAAATTAATAGGTATTAAGTATTTAAAAAGTTTTGTGAATATGTAATCCTTTTAAAAAATTAATCCAAAATTAATAATATAAATAATTGTTTATTCATGAAACTTTACAGTATAAAATTATATAAGTATTTCTTAAATTGTTTAAAATTCAAAGCAAAATTTGAAGAATAAAAGCTCAATTTTTTATTAATAAAATTATTTTTGATATAATAAATAATCTTTTTATTAAGTTAAGTTTTATAATATAATAAATATTATTTAATTTAAATAATATATTTATTTAAATATATAATAGTTATATACTTAAATATATAATTTTATTAATAAAATATAATAAAAATTGAAATTTTTGTTTTATATAAAGTTTTTAATTTTATTATAAATATTTTTTTATTTTTATATTAAACCAAAGATTATAAGTTATAGTTTAATATATTTTTTCTGAATTTTTTAGATTTTTTCTGACAAAGTTATTCTAATTGTAAAGTTATTACAAAAATTTTTTATAATTAATTTTACTTTTTAATTATAAAAATTTTTGCAATAATTTTGTAATTAGAATAACTTTATCAGAAAAAATATATTAAATTGTGACTTATAATCTTTATTTTAATATAAAATTAAAAAATATTTATTAATATAATTAAAACTTTTATATAAAACAAAAATTTA